GTTGAGAGTCTGAAATACCCATTGTGTGTCCTTCTCTCTCTACTGTAGAATATCAGAGCTATTTTTAATTCTATTAGGAGTCTAGTTACAGGATGCTGAGCTGAATTAACTTTGGGCCAATAGTGCACCAGCCAAGAGGCTCCCCTACTACAAGCTGAAATCACTAAAGAGCTAAAATTACTGGGAGCTGAAATCACTGGGGGGGGCAGAAGATATGTTGCTGAGCAGCTGGTGGAGCAGTTTGTGGGATGGCTGGAGTGGCTTGTGGGACAGGACAGCTTGGCAGAGCAGAGAAGTTTGCAGGAGGACTGGAGCGGTTCACTGTGAATGCTGCAGCAGAACCCCATGGAGAGGTGGGGCAGTCGGCCTCAGACCAGGTAAGGTGCCCCTTAACACTGCTGCGTCCCCCCTCCAGGCTGGGAGGTAAAACTCTCCAGATAAACTTTTGAACTCTGGGGCTGCACTGACCAGGGACGGTTGTTGGACTTTGGGGTAATTTTTTGGGTTGCTGGACTTAAGACCCTGAGGGGAAAAGGACACTGCCAAATATAGTTGGGGAGGTGGGTCTTTTGCTCATGGTTTGTGTTCTGAATCCTGTTTGTGGTGTTTCCTCAACATAATGCTGAATTGTTTCCCTCCTTTATTAAAAGGATTTGCTACACTCAGACTGTGCTTGCGAGAGGGGAAGTATTGCCTCCTAGAGGCGCCAGGGGGGTGGTATGTAATTGTCCCAGGTCACTAGGTGGGGGCTCGAGCTGGTTTTGCATTGTGTTATTGAAACAGACCCCTAGATACTGAACCCGGCCCTTATTGTTGCCACCTCTGACGGGCAGAAGGGTTACAATAAGAACTTGTCTGTTTTTGTATTGGGGAGGGGCCAAAAGGCGACTGGAGGGTCCAGTGCCCCCCAGCACTAGCCCGTGCAGGGAGAGGAAGGGGCGGGGCGGGGCCAGAGCCTCTCCGCAAGTCTGGGACGCTGACCCCCAGCGCAGCAGCTGCCTGGTACGGAGAGCGACTGGGGCTGCAGCGCCTGTCTGCCCCCCCCCCTCCTCCCTCCACATTATACTGGAGGGGGGAGGAGCGAGGGGGCGGGGTCTCAGGAGAAAGGGTGGAGCAGGGGGCGGGGCCCCGGTTCTGGCACCAGTGGCCCCTCACTACACATTTGTAGGTGCTTCCACCGCCCCCTAAAGCCGGG